CGACTGACTGCATCATCCTGGTCGGGCCAAGCCAGGACACCCGTCTACGAGAAGCGGGGGCCAAAGTGGTGTGTTGCCTCACCCAGGGGGCCCCGAAGGGTCCAAACCTACCCCGGGTTCAGCTCAACCACCAGGATGCCCTTTTCCCCGGACACGGGCTCGCCACGCACAGCCAGACGTGGGTGGGTCTTAGCCACTTTTTACTCAAGGTCTGTGATGTTGCCAATGTGGCTGGGGTCCGTGGTGACGCTACTCACCAAGCACCTAGCACACAAGGTGCAGGCGCCCCCTGCGGGGCTCGGGGTCCGTGGAGACGCCACTCTCCAAACACCTGCTTTCACAGGTGCCCCCTGCGGGGCATAACAATGAACTACTTCCAACCTATAGTTCACATTTGCACAAGTATGGAAGAAGAAAAACTGGCTCCCTCTTCGTGGTCGTTGCACCTTCACAATGCGGACACAAGCATAGAATTCGTTTGAAGACGTTTAATGATTTGGGCGTTCGCCAGAGTGTGTGTGTGTAAGGGGGGGGGGGGGGGGGGGTTGTCGCTTAAAGTTTGCGTCGCTCATTTTACTATTCACATGAGGATGAGCTCGCATGTTATACAAAAGAGCATCAGCTCCAGGATTTGAAACGGATCATGTGTAGTATCCATTAGCGGAAGAGATCGCCCCGACCACTTCTCAACTCGAAACATTGCTTGTCACAAAGACCACGTAGGAGAAATGGGGAAATATTTCAACTGCCTTTGTTATATTCTGCATCCGCTTTAGACATTCTTCGGTTCTGGTTCTCCTACAGGCTGCGAGTAGGTACCCTCAGCAGGATTTTTTTTTTATTTTTTTTTTATTTTTGTGTGTGTGTGCGTGAGGGGGCTAGTTTGAACGAAGGACTCACAAAGCTACATTCTGCGTCCTCAGACTTCGCCCTGAATGGCCTTTGTCACGCACTGTGGCTTCCCACCCCCCGTCCCAGCTTGAAAAAAAAAAAAAAAAGAAAAAGAAAACGGACATTCCACAGAAACTGTACATAGAAAGAGAAAAAAAAAAACAAAAACAAATTTCATTTTTGTCATTTTATTAAAAAAAAGGCGTGGTGCCGGGGGAGGGGGGGTCCCGTGGACAAATTGTAACGGTTACAAGTAATTTTATTACTTCAAAAAGTAATCAGATTACTCTTGTGATTACAGCCTAATAAAAGTAATCAACTGATTACAAAATTACTCCAAAAAGTAATCGATTACAAGTAATTTGATTACTTGCAATGCGTACGGTACAAGTCTGGCTCGGGGTTCGTAGTGACGCCACTCACCAAGCACCTACTAAAGTAGGTGCCCCCTGCGTGCGGGTATGGTGGCCCACGTGGCTGGGGTCTGTGGTGACGCTACTCACCAAGCACCTAGCACCCAAGGTGCAGGCGCCCCCTCGGGGAGGACCCAGGAGAGACAGAGGCAGTGGTGTCGGAACAGGAGAGGCAGGGAGGGCGACCGCCCCCCCCGCCCCCGCAGATTTTTTAGTAATGGCGGCTCGCGAGCTCGATATTTCGCCAATTTCTCAGAGAGCGATTTTTAAGATATTTCGCGGGCATGAATTCCTCGCATTACGAGTGGCATGATGATATTCATCATCATGGGATTAGTTATTCGAGGGCTGAATTATTTGCGGTTATTTTAAAACCAGAAATAAGCAGGAGCTTCTCCATTTCTGAAGCCGAATAAAGCAGTCGATACGCGCCTACGCTGCTCAAAGCGCATATGGTTTCGCAGTTCGAGGCTGCTGTAATCCCCGGAACGTCGTGCCGTGCGGGTACCGCCGAGGACTTGGACGAAGGTGGTCGAGTATACGACCCGCAGACCTACATGACTACGCCGCATCCTGGAACACCTCGGTTCCGAAGGAGTCAAACACCGGGATGTCCTTTCACATAGGCCGCGGTCACAGAACTGAACTTTTTAAGGCATACAAACAACGCATAAATACAAGACGGGCTGCAACGCCCTCTTTTGTCATGTCAGTCAATCATCATTCCGATCTTTTGACTATCTGCCAGATCGGTGGTGCCATCTCTGGGCACAAATATAAGCAGTACAAAGTCTATCGGCATGATAGGGGTTCGCGGACGGGCGGAGGCGTGCTAGTTGCAGTTGCTGATTCCATTGAGTCATCTCATATTAACTTAGCATCTAGCTTAGAAATTGTATGCGTACGTTTCCAACTAAGTCACAGAAACATTGTTGTCTGTGCATGTTACCGCCCACCTAACTTTACTATGAATTTTGTGGAGTTATTACATGACACACTTAGCAGGATTGTATCAAGGTTTCCCAACTCGCAGCTATTTATTTTTGGCGATTTTAACTACCCAAATATTAACTGGTCACAAGATATACCTATTTGCGGGCCTTATTCTTCTGAAACCAACGATCTCCTAAATCTCTGTGCAGATTTTAATCTTTCGCAATTAGTAACGCAGCCCACGAGAATTACGTCCTCAACAGCCAACATTCTTGATCTTATTTTAACTACGCCTAAGGACATAGTAAAGCCGATCTCTTATCTTCCAGGTCTTAGTGACCATTTAGCCTTGCATTTTTTCCTAAAAATTCCTAAGAACAATTCTGCTGGGTGTGTCAAACACATCCGTGATTACGCCAGAGCCGACTTTGAATCCATAAACCGCGAGCTATACATTCATGGACTCTTATATGCAGAATTTTTCAGAGCGATCGGTTGAAGGCAATTGGTGTCTGTTCAAAGATAAAATTATTTCACTGATCACCAACTACATTCCCTCTCGTGTTGTCAAATCAAACTCGAAATCACCTTGGTATAATACGACTTTAAAAAGGCTGTCTAATAAGAAAAAGCGCTTGTCTCGAACAGCTAAATCATCAATGTCTCCTGATCGCTGGGCCGCGTACCATTCGGCAGCTGAAGTATACAAATTGGCCGTCGATGAAACTAAAAATAACTTCTTCAGCATAAAATTACCTTCAATGCTCACTAACAATCCAAGGCAGTTTTGGAACTTAGTCAACCCTGACGACAAAAATTTTATACAACTTAAAAATTCGGGTGGAGAGGTGATTTCCGGTGAAGATTGCGCTATGACTTTCAACGAATGTTTCATCAGTGTCTTTAGTGGTCTCTTAAGTGCCGACCATCCCATACTACCATCTTCTGGTTTTTTGCCCATGTTACCAATTGTGTTTGATCCACCCGGTATTGTTAAAATTATTGAAAACCTCAAGCAGTCGTCGGCATCAGGTGTCGACGAGATAAACGCGAAATTTCTAAAGAATACCAAAATGTACTCATCGACCATCTTGTCATCTTTGTTTCAACAATCACTTGATCATGGCGTCTTACCTGAGGACTGGAAAGTAGGGAAGGTTGTTCCAATTTACAAAGCTAGTGACCGTTTCTCCCCTTTAAATTACAGGCCAATATCTCTTACTAGCGTACCCTGCAAAATTATGGAGCACATAATTTCTTCACAGCTCTCGCGTTTCCTGGAGTACAACTCCTTCTTTAGCCCTTTTCAACATGGATTCCGCAAATCTTTCTCATGTGATACTCAGCTCTTGGTTTTCACCCACAACCTCCACTCGGCTCTGGACCGTGGATCTCAGACTGACTGCATCTTTCTGGACTTTGCAACTTTCGATAAGGTAACGCATAAACTACTACTATACAAACTTAGCCCAGTCAGTATTGATCCATATATCTTATCTTGGTTAGAGTGTTTCCTCACTAACAGATCGCAATTTGTAACTGTCAATAACAAAAACTCGTCATCGTCCCTCGTTGAGTCCGGTGTAACACAAGGTTCTGTCCTAGGCCCCCTCTTATTCTTAATATATATAAATGACCTACCTACTAGCATTTCCTCCTCCATAAGCGTATTTGCGGATGATTGCGTTGTTTACCGTGAAATTACTAATGACTGACGTACACATAATTCAATCTGATTTAAATGCAATTTCTTCCTGGTGCCATGCTTGGCACATGAAACTAAACATTATGAAATGTAAGACAATGAGAATTTCCTGCAAAGCAGCACTCTGTCCTAACTACTTCCTATCAAATAACCTCCTTGAAAACGTATCAACTTACAAATATCTAGGTGTTCATATCTCTTGTTACCTATCATGGAAAACTCACACCGAATATATCGTTAATAACAGTAACCGCATGCTTAGATATTTAAGACGTAACTTTTCTCTAGCTCCATCATCATTAAAATTACTACTTTATAAAACACTGGTGCGACCAAAGCTTGAATATGCATGCTCGGTCTGGGATCCCGGTGCAGAAAGCCTCATATCAGCGCTTGAAGCCATCCAAAACCGGTCTGCACGTTTTATATTATCAAACTACCATCGTACATCAAGCATCACATTCATGAAAGCTAGTCGCTTTCTGCCCCTTCTTTCCACTCGTCGCACTATCTCCCGTCTCTGTTTATTTCTTAAAATTTACTATGCCAATTCACTTTTAAAAGAGCAACTAATCAGTGACCCCATCTACGTATCATCTCGCCTCGATCACTGCTGCAAAGTTGGTATACCCACTTCCATATCAAATTCTTTTTTCAAACCTTTCATCCCAAAAACATCTCGTGAATGGAACGGCCTTCCCTCATCCATTGCGATTATTGGCAATTCTGATTTCTTTAAAGAAGCACTAACAAGTTACTATTCTTGATCTGTGCCGGACTAACCATTTTCAGCGTTTTTGTACTTCCGTTGCCCACCCCCTCTGTAATGCTTCGGCCCTGAGGGTATAATAAATAAATAAATAAAATAAATAAACAGGCATTCGTTGATTGTTTCTCGAAATCTCTAAGGTTTGCAAGCATGCCCCCTCCTCTTAAAAGAACGTCCTTGGACAAGTGGTTGCAGGACAATGCCGCGAAGAAAAAAAAAAAAAAAACACACTGGGAATTCTTCGACAACAGTGCCATGTGACACTGAGTGCAGTGTGGGTGACAAGAAAATGAGTACTGCACATTCACCGGGACCACGGACAGAAGTGGAGGAATCCCAAGCCCCACAATCGTCTCGAATAGGTTCTGTTGCGAGCATCGTAACGAAGTTTCATCCAGCCAGCGACTATCGGTTTCCTAAAAACGCTCAAGGGAGAGCCTGTTTGCCTGAATGGCTCGAGAAGTTCAGATGGCTTCACTATAACTGCGATAGTGACAGTGTGCTGTGCTATGAATGTGTGGCACGGTGCACTATGAAATGCGAAAACAGTGTTCGTGGTGCCGAGGTGACTTTCATTTTATCCGGCTTCAGGAACTGGAAGAAGGCCACTGAGAAGTTCAGAACTCATGAAAAAAGTGAATGCCACAGCCGGTCTGTGGATAGCTTGTTGCAGAGAATGCAGAAAGCACCAGTGATCAAGCTTCTCAGTGAGCACAGCCTGGAGGAGCAGAATGAGGCGCGAACGGCACTCCGTGTTGTCTTCAGTTCCATCAGATACCTTGCACGCTCGAGTCAGGCCCTGCACGGACATTCGTATGAAGATGGAAACCTGCGGCTTCTACTCAACGAAAGTTCTCAAGACGTCCCGGCCTTGGAAATGTGGATGAAAAGGCGGGACAAGTGGCTGTGCGCTGACGTTCAAAACGGAGTCATTGAAATCATGTCTCACGAGCTGCTGCGAGGCATCATACAGGAGGTAAAGCATTCAACCTTCTTCAGCATCATTGCCGACGGCACGACGGACGTTTCATCATCTGAGCAGTTCTCGCTGTGCATCAGGGGCGTGGATCCAGACACTTTGCATGTAAAGGAGATTTTTGTTGGCTTGTACAACCCGAGTGATACCACAGCCGCTACTCTTTTTGCTGTAATCAAAGACATGTTGTTGTTGTTTGGGGGTTTTGTGGCGCAACAGCAACGGAGGCCATACTGCGCCAAACAAAGTTAAAAGGAAAACAAGCTGTTATTGTTACTGTGCTACAAAACAATAATTAGCTATGCGGAACTAGATCTGATTAATATAACCTGCGTTAGTAATATAAGTCAAATGGGATGAAGGGATATTCTCCCAGTAAAAGAGCAGGATGGAATGAAATTTGGAAATGAAACAATTCAGGAAAGTGGGTACGACGTTCATTGTCCAAAGCTGGACACAGCCACAAGATAGGCATGATGGTAAGTGTATCCCCACAATGCTCACACCCCGGTGGGTCCTCCCCACAAAGGAGATATTTGTGTGATATGTAAGAATGACCGATTCTAAGTCGACACAACAATACTTCATGGAATCGGTTCCTGTGAGAAGAGTTCTCCCAGAGCCCGAGAACCGGCTTGGTAATATGATGTTTATTGTTGCACTCCATGTTCCATTCAGACTGCCATAAACGAAGAAGGGATGACTTTGTTAGAGGTTTAATGTCTTGGTGTGGCAAACAGGCACGAGACGGGAGAAGATTACCTGAGGATGTAGCGAGTCTGTCTGCTTCCTCGTTACCTTTTATTCCCATATGACTGGGCACCCAACAAAATTTTATATTTAAGCCTCCATGTACAGCTTTATTGAGCTTATTTCGTAGTTGCTGCACCAGCATATTTTTAGTAACTCTCAAAGAGCATACTGCGGTAACAGCACTCTGGGAGTCTACGAATAGGACAGCCTGCTTTATTTTAGCTCGGAGAATATAATCTGTGGCCATAGACATTGCATAAACTTCAGCTGTAAAAATGCTGGAGAAAGTATTTAGACGTTTCACTTTAATAAAACAATCAGAATGTACGGCGCTGCCAACAAATGACGACGTCTTAGCACCATCAGTGTAAAAATGTGTGTAGCCTTCATACTTCTTCTCAAGCTCAGAAAATTCCTGTTGGATGATAAGGGCAGAGACGCTATGTTTATTAAACCTTGCGAGAGCCCAGTCACAAGCAAATGGCACTATGTCCCAGGGGGCGACACACTCTACATTCTGCATAAGATTAACTTTGTCCCAACAAAGATCAAGTGAGAAACAAAATTCCTGTACTCGGAAACTCAAGGGCCTTACGATGCTTGGCCTATTCTGGAAGAGGCGGCAATATCTAGATTTTTGGAGGGAGTTGTAGGTTGGATGATTACGGTTCGCAAGTATCTTGTAGTAGTATGTTAAGCTTAGATGTTGGCGTCTTTTCTCGAGTGACATCTCATTTGATTCAGCATACAGGCTGAGGACGGGGGACGTCCGAAAAGCACCTGTTGCGAGTCGCAGTCCAAGGTGATGGACTGGATCCAACATCTTGAGCGCGGACGGCCGTGCAGAACCGTAAACTGGAGCCCCATAGTCGAGACGGGATCGAACAAGAGCGTTGTACAGCGGTAGAAGGCATTTCCTGTCAGATCCCCAAGTTTTATGGGCTAAGACTTTCAAAATATTCGTAGTTTTGAGACATTTTTCTTTGAGCGACTTCAGGTGAGAAATGAAATTGAGCTTTTTGTCAAAGGTAACACCTCAGAACTTGTGCTCTTTCCTGACAGGGATGCAGGTTCTTTGCAGTTTTAAGGATGGATCCAGTGATAGACCACGGCGTAAAGAAAATGGGACACAGACGCTTTTCTCGGGAGAAAACTTAAAACCGTTTTCGTCTGCCCACTTGGCAAGCTTATTTGTGGCAAGCTGTAACTGGCGCTCGCAGCTCGAGAGATTGCACGACGATGCTGAGATCTGGATATCGTCAACATAAAGTGAGTATGTAATGGAGGGTGGCAAAACCTGAGCGAGAGAATTCATTTTGATAACAAAAAGTGTAACACTCAGGATACCTCTCTGGGGAACCCCGTTTTCCTGAACGAATGGATCCGACAAAACAGTTCCTAATCTAACCTGAACCGTCCTGTCCGTCAGAAAATCTTTTATGCACTGCAGCATACGGCCACGAATTCCATAGCCATAAAGGTCTTGGAGGATGCCATATCTCCAAGCTGTATCGTAGGCCTTTTCCAAGTAAAAAAATATCGATACACAATTCTGCCTATACACGAATGCTTCACGTATGGCCGTTTCTAAGCGCACCAAATGATCCAAAGTGGATCGTCCTCGGCGGAACCCGCACTGATTGTTATCCAAAATACTTTCCTTTTCTAGAACGTACACCAGCCGCCTGTTTATCAGTCTTTCATATGTCTTCCCAAGGCAGCTGGTTAAAGCTATCGGACGGTAACTAGAAGGCAGAGATGGATCCTTACCCGGCTTCAAGAGAGGGATAATGTGTGCCCGTTTCCAAGCCGCTGGAAAGCTAGCCCTCATCCACAATGAATTGAAGAAATTAAGAAGGGATTTAAGAGATTCTGGAGAGAGATTACGCAGCATTTCGTAATGCAGTCCATCGGGTCCAGGAGCAGAGAGCTTTTTATATCAAGGGCACTCTTTAGCTCGTACTGTGTGAAGGGCTGATTATAAGGTGCAGCGTTTGATCCCGTTGTGACTATATTATGTTGCTCTGCACGTCGTTTAAACAACTTGAAGGAATCTGAATAACTAGAGGAGCTAAACACCGAACAGAAGTACTTCCCAAGAACGTTGGCAGTATCTTTCAGTGACGCACATGGAGGGTTGAAAACGGGAATCCTGAACCCCCTGTAGTCCCCTTTGATTCTCTTGAATCTATCCCAGACCTCCTTAGCAGTTACAAAGCTGCTTAGAGACGACACATATTTAATCCAGGTTTTCGTTTAGATCGCTTACGGGTCCACCGGGCTTTAGCTTTTCGTTTTTTAAACTCAACCAGGTTTATTGAGGTGGGATACCGCCTGAACCTGCCCCATGCCTTATTTTGCTCCGTTTGCGAAATCGCACACTCCTTATTCCACCAAGGTTTGCACTTACGAGGCAGATTACCGGTAGTTTGGGGAATTGACTGCTGAGCGGCATTTATTATCTGCTCTGTCACATACAATGTGGCTTCATCCGCAGTCATGGAGGAAAACAAGGATGTATCCAGCGTGGAGCTTAATTTAAAAAGAGACCAATCGGCTTTGTCTAACTTCCACCGAGGCATTCGTTTTAACAGAGTGGGAAAACAAATGTCGCTCTCTAAAGTAATAGGAAAGTGGTCACTCCCAAAAGGGTTATTAAGAACCTGCCAAGAAAAACAAGGCAGTAATGAAGGTGATGCAATAGATAAATCAATAGATGTAAATGAATTGTGAGCTGAACTAAAGAATGTAGGCTCTCTACTATTAAAAAGACATATTTGAGATGATAGTAAAAACTGCTCAATTACTCTGCCTCAAGAATCGAGACGAGTACTACCCCACATAGGATGATGGGCATTAAAATCACCTAAAATTAAAAAGGGTTGAGGGAGTTGTCCCACGAGTCCTTGGAGCTCAGAGAGATGCAGGGGAACATTTCGAGGCAAATAAATAGAAACTACTGTTATAAGACGGTCTAAAAGAACACGTACCGCTACGGCTTCCAGTGGGGTGCACAGTGGGACCTCGGAGCAGGCAACCCCGCTCTGCACAATCACTGCCACGCCTCCAGAAGTGGAATTAACACGATCTTTACGAAAAACTTGATGACGCCTTAAAATCTGTGTATGATGAGCTTGGAGATGGGAGGGCAATAGGCCGAAGATCGTCCATAAAATAGTTAACGTCATCAATATTAGGTAAAAGACCACGACAGTTCCAATGCATAAAATGTAAATTCTTCACTTATCTAAAAAGGTGAAATGTAAAATTAAAAAGTGAGAGGCAATGAAAAATTGAGAGTATTAAATTAATGGTTATTTGGGAGGGACCACTGGCTTTTTCCCTTTGGACTTCAAAGTCTGCCACTCCATCTCATCCTGGTCGGATGCAAAAGTGGGTGACTCGGAGGTATCATCCATCGCCTCCACTTCTGGAGGCGAGCTTTTACCTGAAGGTTTTGGCTGGCTCGTTGCACGGGGTGGCTTTCCCCGGCCACGACCAGCCGAAGAGGCACCGGAGGTGCTGGGCAGAGTGTCTTTCAACTCTACCTCCTCCGGCCCCTTATGTACTGGGGGGGCGGCACGAGAATTGTGCCGCTCTTTCGAAGAGGAGGCCCTCTCTGAGGAGGTCGGGCGGGAGTTTCGCCCCTCTCCCCAAAAGAGGACCGCGATGTGCGAACAGGTACGGCATTTTCCGACCTGTCTGGAACCAGCGAAGCAGCCTGTGCACTCCCTCCAGGAGGAGAGGGGCACTGCTGCCCAAGCTGGGGGGTTGGGGCCTTGAGGGCTGCCTCCAGAACCTCAGGTGAGACCTGGGTAGCCCTCGATTCCGAACGTGGCGCAAGACCCCTGCGCGCCACGTCGGCGTAGGATCCCTTCGACATAAAGGAATACCGTTTCTTAGCTTCGATATAACTGATGTTTTCTTTGACTTTGATAGCAATGATTTCTTTTTCTTGCTTCCAGATGGGACAGCCACGATAATAAGTGGGGTGTGGTCCATTGCAATTAATGCAGAGGGCAACATTCTCACAAATGTCAGAGACGTGATCTTGACTGCCACACTTCGCACATGTCTCCTTCCCTCGACAGCTGCGTGTTCCGTGGCCAAAACGCTGGCAACGGAAGCACCGCTGGGGGTTGGGGACGTAAGGGCGGATGTGGCAGTTCAGGTATCCAGCCTTGATTGTTTCTGGCAGTGTATGCCTCTCAAAAGTAAGTATGACATGTTTTGAAGGGACTTCTTCACCATCTTTCTAAACATAATGCGTTTTACTGCAACGACACCCGCACCTTGGAGTCCCTCGAGGAGTTCTTCCTCACTAGTGTGCAAGAAGTCGTCCTCGGAGAGGACTCCGCGGATGGTGTTAAGTGTGCGATGAGGGCTCACCGACACTTTCACTTCAAAGATGGTGTTCAGCTTGAGAAGTGCTTCGCTTTGCTTTTTGTTGTTTACCTCCACTAGGAGGTCTCCAGAGTAGAGTTTTTTAGCCTTGTAGGAAAACCCTACAAGGTGTTCAAGTCCCAGATAAAAATGACTAGGGCTGGGCAATTGATCAATTAACCTTCCGATTAATCGATTAATGCTTTAATCGCGATCAATTTTTTTAACCAGTTAATCGGTTAAAATGAGGCGAACAAAAGTAAATAAATATACGTTTTTTTCCTTTCTCCTGGTGCCGTTCCCTCTAAAACGAACATACAAACTTGCTCCTTGTTCACCTCGTAGGTAACACCCAACAAACAAATCATTCGTCGTGAGTCACGTGGGATTGGAAGAAAAAAGCGAAAACAGAAGCAGAATGAAAGCAGGCTTTACGGAAGTCCGGTGACCTCGGTCATGAATTCAATCTTTTTGAGCACACGCAGCAGCTTTTTTTTTTTTTTTTTTGAAGGCACGCAAGCATGTTGGCTTACGGGTTTGCAGCGACAAAGCTAGAGCTCTTCCGAAGGCTGCCTTGATCCCCATTGTGGGTTATGCTCCGTCCTTGCGGTCGCTACAGCGTGACCTCGCTCGTCTCTCCGCTCGTTCAGCGTGGTGCAAAGCCGGCCGTGGTCGTGGCTTGCTTCAGTATTCGATCCTGTGTTTTATTTGTGTGGTTGGAATTTCTCTCTCGGCGTCGCTTTTGCCTCTTGACGCACCGACCTTGGCGGACCTGCACTGCCCGTGGCAAAGTGCTTCCAGATGTTCCCCCGTTCTCTCGTCGTCTTTGACGAGTTGGCGCCGCGCGCAGCCGGATGGGCTCGTTTCCCTTTTCCCCGTAAAAAGGGCCTTTCCTTCGCCGGGGATTTTCTGTTTGTTGAAAGCTTCAAGGACGTCGTGGAATTAGAGCGTGCGGGTAAAGTTACATGAACGACGATGTTTCATCCTGTTTTTGTCCTTCATGTACTACTCCTATAACACCTTCAGGGACGTCCTCGACGGATCGACGCTCCCCAATTATCCCCGTCTCCCTTGCCCCCGTCTTTCCTCTTCCCTTCATGTCGCGCCGCAGTCACTTGTTTGAGAAGTATCTCATCACAACACCCTGCGCAGGCATGGACGAATACAGGAGTATGAAGGGCAACCTTTCAGGGAAATTCGGGTTTAAAGTAAACTCCGAAGGCGAAGTTTTTGACTTAAAGAAAGTTCACTGCCTCATCTGCAAAAAAGCTTTCGCATATAGCGGAAGTGTAAGCTCGCTTCAATACCATCTCAGAGCTAAGCACCCAAGCATCTCGCTGCAACAAGAATCATCTGCAAAAAAGCAGACGACTATCGTCGTTTTCTCTTCGAGGCCGGTTTCTCTGAAGAAAAAAGAAACTATTGCACAAGCCCTTACATCTTGGCTTGTTTCTTCTAGCCGGCCTCTCAATATTGTGGAAGATCACGGACTAGGGAAAGTTCTTCAGATTGCCTTGGATTCTCCGTCTTACCAGCCGCCGTCCCGTCGTGCAGTGAGTGCCAAGGTGGATGCCCTGTATACCTCGAGACGGGAGCGTCTTCAAGCAGAACTCTCGGCAGCCAGCTTCACCAGCTTAACAGCGGACTTCTGGACCTCCATCGCCAATGACGCCTACCTCGGGATAACGGCGCATTGGATCGACGACGACTGGATGCTTCGATCGGCAACATTGCAGGTGAGAAACGTAGCTGAGCGCCATACAGCGGAACAATGTGCCAGTGAGGTATTGGAGACTGCTACAGATTTGGGAATCGTTGAAAAGGTAAAAGCTGTCTGTACCGATAACGCCCGCAACATCTGTCTTGGGGTGCAGAGAACAAACTTTCAGAGTCTGAAGTGCGCAGCTCACACGCTTCAGCTGTGCGTCCACAAGGCGCTCAGCGTGACGGGTGTGGAGCGACTGCTAGCCGCCTGTCGTCGTACTGTGGGTCACTTTAAGCACAGTTCGAACAACCAGGCCGTTCTTTCAAAACATGCCGCTGAACTCAGAGCACCTAAGAAGAAGCTTCAGCAGGACATCGCAACACGGTGGAACAGCACGTACATAATGATAACCAGCCTGCTTGAACTGAAGGAGCCTTTGCGCCGCTCCATGGAGGACAGCAGTACCATTAAATCGTCGATGCCCCACCTCACAGACGTCGATTGGGACATGTTGGAGCAGCTTCGGGAAGTTTTGAAGCCCCTGCTCGACATTACTGAGCTCCTTGGAGGGGACAAGTACGTTACTCGGTCTGTACTTATTCCAGCCTTAAAACTGCTAAAGAATAAAATGAAGACGAATGACTGTGACCCTGCCTTCATCTGCCGCTTCAAGGCCATGCTGGTGGACTCTATCGATGAGAGGCTTCGCGCGTGGCCGCAATACAACGACTATGAACTGGCAACGTGTCTCGATCCTTGTTTCAAGAGCCTCGCATGCATCGAAAAAGATCGCCGCGAACTTGTGTGGGAAAGGCTTTCCCAGCTAACACATGCGTCTTCGGACGATTCTACTGATCTAACGCCCAAGAAAAAAAGAAAATACGTTTTCTCGGAGGAAGCTGAAGAACCCACCATCTCCTGCCAAGTGTCGCTTTATCGATCGATGGCCGAGGTGACGGACGATGAACTGGACCCACTACAGTGGTGGCGAGCTCAGGGCTCCCTGTTTCCTCAAATTGTGCCAATTGTGAAGAGTGTGATGTGTGTCCCAGTCACCTCAACGCCCTGCGAGCGTCTGTTCAGCGCAGCAGGGATGATCGTCAACAAACAAAGAAACTCGCTCCTGCCGGAAAATGTCAACAAACTTCTTTGCCTTCGCAGCTGGGGTTGTGATCTGTGAGTGCGTTACATCAACGTTTATTCTCAATTAAGTTTGTATATATGCGCCGTTTATCATACAATAAAACAAATTGTAAGGACAAAATGTCTACTTTTGCTTTTTACTAAAGTCAACCGATTAATCGATTAAAGGGTAGCGATTAATCGGGTTAAAATTTTTAATCGACGCCCAGCCCTAAAAATGACCATTGAGAACCATTGAAATTTCAATTGGTACCAGTTGTTTCCAACTGGTTTCAATTGGAAATTCAATTGATGTCAATTGTAACTAGTTGGATCCAATTGTCAAAAAGTAAACAATTGGTTGTGTTAGTTGGTTTCAATTGGAAGTTCAATTGATATGCCATTTGTAACTAGTTGGATCCAATCGGCAGTAAGTAAACAATTGGTTGTGCCAGTTGGTTCCAATTGGAAGTTCAATTGATGCCAATTGTAACTAGTTGGATCCACTTGGCATTAAGTAAACAACTGGTTGTGCCAATTGGTGGCAATTGCAAGCTCAGTTGGCACCAAATTAACTAGTTGAATCCAACTGGCATTAAGATGTACAACTGTTATGCCAATTGGGACGAAAATATCCAGTTGATTATCACAACTGTACTTTTCAATTGACACCTGATACACAATTCTATCTTCAGTTGTCTTTCATTGGTTATTTTAATTCCCAACTGAAAATTTAAAGTGGTTTCACAAGTGGTCCCACTTTACCAATTCCCACTTTCAACTGGTTTAGTCAAAATTATCCCAGTTAGGTTCAGATGTCCCACTTGTAATTTCAAGTGGCTACACCTTTTTTTCATCACTTTTTTTTTCACTGAACATGTGTAAATAGGCTTGTAAAACGCGCCACTACTTTAAATTGTGTGATTTTTTGATGAAAGTCGTATGGAGGAAAAATTGTACATATTTTGTTTTTTTTCAGCCCAGTTACAATTAAGATATTGGTACAATCGGAATCATAGCACTTGCACAAAGTACTTTTTTTTAATATCAAAATGAGAGAAACTTGCGCATGGAAATTAAATATGTCAGAATTTTTTTTTATATATATCCGGGTTTTCTTTTTTTTTTTCTTTTTTTGTTGTTAAAATTGGCGGGAATCCTCGGAAACGTCTGTACACACTGGGCAACAAAGATGGCGTCCGGGAAGGAGCGCAAACGCACATGGCACGTTGGCAGGCACGGCATCTGTGGCATGGTTACAGCAGATATTCAAGAAAGTTATGCTATTTTACTGCTGCGAGTGCTGAATAGTGCGGTGATCATTAGTTCATTGGGCTGCCACTTCGTTGGAGCGTGAAGGATGTATTCGCAACTCCAACGCCCTATAGGTGGCGGGACGGTAGTTCCAAGATGGCGGAAGAGACGGGGATAGATTCTCCAGGATATCCCGTGCGCCTGCTCGCTGACGCTGTTCAGCGCGCTAAAAAGGATTTATTTGTCTACAAATGCGAAGCGGTTAGGGAGGGATCATATTACAGGTGACGGAGATGTGGATGCACGTTAGGAAAACTAGCACGCTGTTAATTAAAAGTTGCAGAAACCTCAAATTGCAAAGCTTTGTGGTGAGCGAGCGCGTTTTAGGCACCGGCCACGTTACTGTTAGTGGCAGAATCTTTTTCAGGGTGATGAAGATATGTTTGCGCTTCGCTTGGCCCTTAGTTCTCTAAAAATAGAGCCGCGAACGGTGACCGTCAAGCTTCGGAAGAGCAGCGTTCACAGCATTGGTCGCGTCCCAGCCTCACAACTCGCTGCTCACCTTCTCGGTTTTAGTGTATTGCCACACGCAATCAAACTGCTTTATGGGTATTGATAGAAAGTTTGCTACCACAGGCTACTGTTGGTTGGGATTGGTTGGGATTGGGGTTTTATGGCGCAAGGGCTGCTGAGGCCAAAGAGCGCCAAAGAAGGAAACTATTGCATTGAGGGTAAGTGAGAAGAAAGGACTCTAGTGGTCAGGGTTAAAAATAAAAGGAATGAGACAAAACTGGATTAAATCACAAACAACAATGGGCATGAGTGAGAAACTGAAATTCACAATTGATGTAGAAGGCCAATAGAATCTAAAAACTTAAAAACCTGCTTGTAAGCCACGAATGGTTCATCACCCAACAACAACATTGGGTGTAAGGGAGTGTGATTTCTGTACAACTGTGCAAAGTGAGATTGGCGTTCCCGTTCGTAGAAAGGGCACTCAATTAAAAAATGGAGAACACTTAGAGGTTTATCGCATTGTTCACACAAAGGGGCATCCTCCCCACGGAGCAAGTAGCCATGAGTCAGATGCGTGTGGCCAATGCGCAAACGACACAGTATTACTTCATAAAACCGTTCTCGGTGTCGGGCACTTGCCCATTCACCCAGGTTTGGCTTAATGAGATGCAGCTTATTGTAGATCTCTTCATTCCACTCGGCTTGCCATTGGGCTTGTATGCGAGACCTTACAGAAGAGCGGTAGTCCACGTAAGGGATTCCTTTTATGTCTACCTCCCTGCTGACGCATGCGCGAGCAGCACGGTCGGCCGCCTCATTGCCTGGGATACCAACATGGCTGGGAATCCAGCAAAAGACAATGGTGCAATGGTTTCTAGGTGCCACAATAACTTTCTTCTGAACTTCAACAACAAGGGCGTTCCTTGTAGGCAGCAGAGAAAAGATGGCACGCAAGGCACTCAGAGAGTCCGTGAAAACTACTGCCAGCGGTATCCTGTGGCGGGCTATGTGTTCCGTAGCCAGCAGGAGGCCATACAGCTCCGCTGTCAAAATGGTAGCGGCAGTGTTTATCCGCCTTACAACTTCCACTGAAGAGCCAATGACAGAGCAGCCAACAAAGGTCTCAGATTTTGTCCCATCTGTATAGAACTTTGTATGATCTTCATACAATTGAGCCAGTTCATAAAATTCTTGCAGAAGCGCAGCACTTGGAGTGTTTTTCTTGTTATACTGTGCAAGAGACAGGTTGCAGTGTATGTCAGGGTGCTCCCAAGGTGCTATGATGCCATGAAATTCTACTACCTGGGATGCCACATCAAATCCGACAGACTCGGCCAAGGTCTTCAGTCGCATACTGAACGGAGGGATCACGCCAGGTTTTGCAAGAAACAGTCGGTCCGAGCGTGTTTCTTGAACAACTTCTCGAGTAGGGCGCTGGAGTACAGATCGGATGCGAAGAGAGTACATCATGCCCAATGCGAATCTACGTCTCTCGAGGCAGCACTCGTTAGCCTCTGCATATAGACTTGGCACAGGGGATGTACGAAACGCACCCGTAGCCAACCGAAGCCCAAGATGATGAATGGGATCCAACATCTTGAGAACAGACTGTCTGACAGACCCATAAACAAAGCAGCCATAGTCTAGTCGGGAGCGTACCAAACAGCGATAGATCCGCAGGAGGCACAATCGATCTGAGCCCCAAGACCGGTGCGAGAGAACTTTAAGGATATTGAGAGATTTGTGAGCTCTCAATTTCAGGCTTTTTACATGAGCAATAAAATTCAGTTTACTATCAAACGTAAGACCCAAAAATTTGTGCTGAGGTTGGACATTAACATTACTATTGTAGATTGTTAGGGAGGGTTCAAGAAGAATTCCACGTTTGCGGCTGAAGCAAACACATGCAGTCTTCTCAGGAGAGAACTTGAACCCATTACTGTCTGCCCACTCAGTAAGCTTGTTGATGCCTAGCTGAACCCTGCGTTCACAGACTGAGAGGTTACAGGAGGAAACTGAAATTTGTAAATCATCGACGTAAAGAGAGTACTGAACCGACGGAGGGATTACTGAAGCAATGGAGTTCATTTTAACTATAAACAAGGTGACACTTAGCACTCCCCCCTGTGGCACTCCATTTTCCTGCAGAAATTCACGGGAGAGTGTGTTTCCCAGCTGAACTCGAAAGGTGCGCCTGTCTAGATAGCTCTGAATTGCACGAAGCATGTGACCACGTAGTCCGAGGTCAGACAGGTCCCTCAAAACGCCAAAGCGCCAAGCCGTGTCGTACGCTTTCTCGAGATCGAAGAACACGGAGAGGCAGTGCTGCCCGTGCGCAAAGGCCTCACGCACAACAGTTTCGAGACGGACCAAGTGGTCGACTGTAGACCTTGATGAACGATAGCCGCACTGAAATTTGTCGAGTACCTTACCATGCTCCAAATAGTACATTAGTCTACGAT